ATGCATCTGCGAGGGCGGGTATATCGAAATTGAGACCATCAGCAGAAAACATACCAGTCTCAGTCGCATCCGCGATACTTGTATCTCCTTCAGGTTTCGATTGTTCTGAGCCATGTGACCTCGCCCGGTAAGTTTCAAAATTGAAGAGTTTGTCCTTGTTGAGCTTGATGACGGACTTCTCATTGTGGGATCTGAGAATGAGGATACTCATGAGAGGGTTTCATCAACCTACACATCAATTTTGAAGGGATCGAAGTCGACTCGAACTCTACAATGATGTCGGGGATCTGTCGTTACACTGAGGGTAATGCCTTCATCGTTTTTCTCATACCTACAAATAGAACAATGGGAACCACGACGATGGTTGACCGACTCACTCAATGTCTGCCCATGGTATAATCGGTAAAGTATCATCCAGGACCACGTCGTTGTCTGGTATTCGATACCTGCATGCCGACATCAAAAGTAGGATCACGTTTGTGGACTCACCTGGGATGAATAAGGTCCTTCTCATCGACCGAGACGCGGACAATACCGCATCGACCAACAACATCTGTATGGAGTTGCAAATGCAACTGGAGCACTGTCGTGGGCGCGTACTGATGATGAGGGCGAGTATTGTGCACGGAGAGAGTGATCGACTCACTCTATTATGGAGATCAAGCCTCAAAGGCTGAGTGTTGGTCGGCCTTGTAACCCCGGTATCGATGTACCAAGGACCTTGCCACTCACCGGGCTGGCAACTTCGCGCCCTATCGATCCATTTGCGGAATCGACGGCAGAAAGAGCCCTGGCAAGATAGTCAGTGGGTAACCTCAGGTACTACCCTACCTGGTCACATCTTCGGAATTTTCTTGCATCCTCAGCGAATGTGGAGATGAGCGCAAGAGCGCAGAGCAGGACAAGAGGACGAGGCATCTTTCTAAATCAGTCAACCAACGACTACAAGGACCTCAAATGGATAACTCTTGGGGGGGGGGGCGAGCGCTGATAACTCGGCGTATCTTGGAAACAGCATCTTGCGTTGCTTGGGGGGGTTTCACTCGCAAAGGTCGAGTACTATGGTACCCAACTTCAGATACCTCGGGGTAAGAATGATTAATGAGTCCCATGATGTGTACATGCACCTTGTCAGGGAGTTCAGACGAATTTGACGACATTCAGGACACGTGCCACAAAGCAGATAGTCGATCCGAACCCAAAAGGAAGTGATGATTATACTTTACATGAACAACCACCGGTATGTCCTCAGCTTGGCACTGCCAAGTGGCAGTCTATTACAGTCCCGCACGGAATGCACGCAGTAATTTCGCGGTCAAAGGGCCTAGAGAGTATGTTTCTGGTGGCGTGTACAGACTATGGAACGTGGAGAATCAATTCTCTCTCTCTGGTCATCCGAAAGCGGGTGACCAAAAGAAGAGGTACAAAAAATATGACATCTTCGAACTGCTCCACTCCAAACGTTGGCAATCATTGAGAGACACATCCTGAATTCATCAGGTTCTCTCGTGATTATTCATGCCGGTTTGCTTCCATGGCTGAAAGCGGATCACCAACCAAGGAGATGATCAAGAAGAATGGAACCACAATGGGAGCATTCCATTGGAGGAGTGGACATCTTCCAGCATCCTCCCCTAGATGGTCATGAATTACCTATCATTAGATTTCTAGAAGCACTGAAATACCGAGGGTTCGAAATGGAGAAGACTCTACTCAGCAAGATCTACGCTGGCTGGAAACCTAGTACTCACTAAAAGACGTTACGGATCTGGGCAGCCTGCAGGAGGGTATCAAATCTTGTTGGGTGGAGATTACTGTGTCAGCGTAGAAGCCTCGAATCCAGAAAGGCTATTATTTTAATCAAACACAGTGTTGTTAGTTATGTGACTCTACGTTGTGGAGTCTGGAAGATATTCGACTCAATGAGTTTGAGTAACCATCTTCTTCCTGATAAACTACTCTGTCATCGGTTATGATTCTGGCATCCAGCTGGGAAGCGATTTCGAATGTCGAGTGATCGTGGATCTGTCGAGTATCACTACTGTAGGGACTCCCTAAGTCTCATGTTCATGCTCATTCTCGGGATTCGGCCTTCTCTCGTGTCCAGGCATTGGTAACCCTTTATCGTCTATCCCGGTCCTTTCCAGTGGACCATACAACACAAAAGACTAGTGAGTATTTAAACTATTCACAAGTCTGTTGCAAAAAAGTAAGAGCAGGTACCTACACACCGAGTCAGATCATAACTTCATAAGCCTCTGCTTCTTCTGCTTCTTGGAGATCAACCGAGCCCAGCCAGAGACTCAGGATATCGTCAATCTGATCCCGGGCAGCAATCATATCAGATGTATCATTGTCCGATGGATCCTTCATTTCAGAATGGTGGGCTCCGCTGGGAATCATAAGCGATATTATAGTGTCCGAAAGGTTTCTAGTCACCGCGCCTGCCGTCCAGCCATCCATACCACCGTTAACAAATAACACACGTGAGGTGATGTCAGGCAAGTGGCCTCATCAAAGCCCCATAGTCGTTGAGTCGATGCTCTCGAGTAGTATCGGAGA